TTCTGAAAATATTTTAAAAATAGAGTTAAAAAGTTTTTCTGAGACATTGCATACTGTCATCGTAAGAAAAAAAAGGAAGTAGGAATGATTCATGGCCTGATTCATTGAAATAACAGTTTTGTATTGATGGTGAAGAAAGTCTGTGACAGTAGCAGATTTGGACTGATGGGGAACATGGAGTCAGCTCTGGAAACAGGTTAAGTTTGAGATGAGCAGTAAACACCTAAGTGCAGCTGTTGAGTAGGAAGTCAAATATATGATTCTGTACTGTGGGGCCAAGAACTAAGCCAGCGATGTACATTTGAGAGACATTGGCACACAGTTGTTACTTCACATTTAAGATTGTATACAAATCATCAATAGAGTAAATGAAATAGAGAAGAGAAAAGATCTGAGACCTAGCTCTGGGGTATGCACTCAAATTACAGAGATGAAGAGAAATAATAAAGGGAGACTAAAATATACCAGCTTAGTATGTTTAATAAAATGAAATGCAAGAAGATACATAGTTTTTAGACTTATCCAACATATCTTTCCATAAAATGAAATAGCTTTAAAATATTAAACTGTTGATGAAAAATTGATTTAAAAAAATAAATGGCATGGATTTTAGATTTTATAACAAAACAATGAATAAATTTTAACTTAACTCTTATTGTTGGTCTGTGATTAAACCCTTCTCATCTTTACATTTATATCAATCTAGTTCAATAACATTTATTTTCAAAAACAGTGACATTCACCAATGATAATAAATGCTCATACTCAGGAAATGTTTCATTTTGTGGCTACATCAACCATAGGAGAATTAATTTTTAACCAACTGTCTTTATTTTTTAAACAGAAAACATGGTGCTTACTGTTTGACACCTAGGAAGAGAACTTTCCTATTGTGTCCTAAGTCTCAGAGCATGGTGTAATTGTTAAGTTCTACTAGGATGTACTGGCTGGTTTATTACTGGCAAATATACAGCAAGCATGTATAAAGTTAGGGTGCAATTCAAGAAGTAGTCTGAAAAGATACACCAAAAATTTAAACTCTCTTGGCTTCAAAAAGTTCATGATTTCTTATAATAAGGGGGTGGATGTGTTACCAAGCTTTCAAGGGGACAGAATCTCAACTGAAATCATTAAAATTGGGTGAATTGATCTTTCCATGGGGCATTGTATGGTAGAGTACTTCTTGTGTTAATTTGATGGTTGTCTTTATGGAAGACGAGCTGAGCTGAGCACATGTGAACAAAGTCATGGGCAAAAGAACAGAAAAATAGTAAGGGAGAGGAAAATAGCTTGATAAAGACCGGCTTATGTGTGCAGAGTGGAGGAAAGAAGAGAAGTGATGTTGAATAGTGGGGCTTATGGCTTAGGGGGATATTTAAGTTCACTGTATGAAGATTTTGTATTCCAACTCTAAGACAATCAGTAAAAATCTCTATTATTTATGAAAGAATCTTGAATTACTTTGGTATAGTTCCTAAGTCCGCATAATCATACTAGACAATCTGTGTTAGCACCTAAATTGTTAGCAAAACTGCAGTGCCAAATAGTTAAAAAAAAATAAAAGGACAAGATATGAAGATAATATGAGCGTGAAGTCAAAAGGTCTTGTAGAGATTACCCTGAGATTGAAATGACAGCTTTCAGGAAGAATCTCGAATGCAAGATAGGATATTCCGGCTAGACTCTAGGTACTAGATAATTGTGCTGCAGCAGGGTTACAAAACTTCCCAGAAAGGAGGAACTCAAGAAACTTCCTAGGAGCTCCTCAGGAAACGATTCGTAAGCAGGTCCAAAGCACGTTCAACTTCTAGAGACGCTGTGTGCTTTCTCAAGGAGGGGAGGAATCGTCAACAACATTCTCCGTTGCTTTAGGAGGTTTCTTTGAAGGAGACACGAGGCAAAGACTAGCTAGACAGAGCCAGTTACATTCAGCTCATATGTTTGGTGTAGGTCAAGTCATCCTTGGCTGTTATTTAGTCGAGTTAAGATGATAGTTTGTAGAATTTAAAGCAAAATAATTTCAATGCTGAATACAAAAGTAAATGTACGTGTGTTTCATTTTCCATTAGACTACTGAAAGATCAGCAGTTTTAAGAAGCAAACCTTAATCTTCATAATGAGACTGGAACAACTCATCTTGGAGAATAAGTTCAAATTCTCAGAAAGCCTAAAATCTACACTTAATGTTGAATCTAAGCTTAGTGAATAAAAACAGTAGCTCATTTTTCCCCCAACAACTGTATTTAAATAATCTAAAATTTATTTAACGTTGGCTGTAGGATTATAGACCCAAAACACATTCCAACACCGTGTCTCTCTTTGAGACTGACAATCCTTGTTCCTGGGCTATGGGGAGTTGAAAAACTTCCTTTCACTTTTATCAGACTTCCCACAATTTCAGGATTGAGGGCTTGAGGACTGATTGAAATGGGGCAGTCACAAACTTGCCAGTGTAACTAAAATTCTAAGCATGTATGATACACGGGAGCTGGGAACAAGGATGTCAATCTCCAAGTGGGAGGAAGCCCCAAGTTTCTAATCAATCATTGTATACTGCTTTCTCTTCCCTTGTTCTACAAGTACTGATTAAAACCAAACTTCCTACTTTCATTTTTAAATATCCAACTATCCACATGTGCAAGTTACTTTTATGAAGGCAGTGGATTTCAGAATGCTTCCTGTAAAGATAATAATGTTCAAGTAGAGTGTTCAAATAATATTCAAGCAGAATTTAGTTGAGTTAACACAAAATATATTGGACCCTTCAGTGGACTCTTAACTTACAAACTTGATCAGTTCCCGAGGACTGGTTGTAACTGAAGTTGGTTGTAAGTCAATACAGGTGAGATCTGGATGTTTACCTGGGTATATGCTATAAATAACAAGCCTAATTAACCCAAGTTGTTCATATGTGAGGCTGGTCATAAATTGAGGATACCCTGTATAAAGATGTTCTTTTAAGTAAATGTTTTATATAAAATGTTTAATAAAAAGATAATAAAAGAGTTTTAGATACAATGTTATATATTGGAGCTGTAATAGTGCCCCAAAGAATGAAATATGATAATGACCAAAGCTCTTCCAACAAAATGTAAAGTGTTTATAGAACAAAGGAATAGAAAGAGAGGGCTTCTAGCCCTCGTTCTTATAGAAGTAAGAGCTGCTATGAGACAACTTGAGAAATGGTGGCGGAAGGGGAAGGATTTTAAAACATAGGAGGAAAGTATGATTTTCTTAGCTACTCCCACGCTTTTGTTGTTAGTTCGTTAGTAGACGTGAGGCAAAAATATAGGAAATCAATATAAAGCTTAATTAGAGTCTAAGAAGTCAACTCCACCTGAGATTTACAGGCACAGATGACAGAGGCTTTGCTGAGTGGAAGTGGCTCAAAGCGTGGCTTAGAATACATTTGGTGGCCTGTCCAGTGTCACAGCAAAATTGCACATGGTCCACCTTGACTCTGCATTCTTTGGCTCTAACCTTATTCTTAGTGATGTTCCCGCCTTGGTGTTGGATCCACAAGCAGACAGGTGAGGCAACACACACACACACACACACACACACACACACACACACACACTAGTCTTCTCTTTCAGAAAGTTTCTTTTCAGGGTGTTGGGAGGGCTTATTGGCTGGTGGCAAATTAGAGTTGTGAACACTCAGTCTTCCTTGTTTTTCAAAGTCAAATACCATTTTTTTTTATAGAAAGTTGAAAATTCTCTCTAGAATAAGCAATGATTCAAAAAACTATTTGTTAGGAATGTAATTATTTACAGTTCCCCATTCAGCTAGGTACTAAGCAGTACTAAAATCAATACCGTAGTTAGGCAAGTGAGGATCCTCCAAAATTTAACAATTACTTGGAGGTGTTCTCTGAGGCTGTTCACTCTGACTAAAAATCATTTCTGGGACAAAGGAAGGAAGGGTTCAGCAACTGTCAGTTCCCAATCAAGGGGGTCCTGCTAGCTCCAGAATAACCCTGAAACTACCTAGTATTGTTCACAAAGAGGTATCACTACAGGCTTTAGAAAGCTGGGGTCAGCAACTGTGATAAAGGAATGAATGGAATCCTGGTGTGTGCAATTCCAGCACCCTGGGAGGGTGAGACCAGAGGACTACGAGTTCTATCACAGCCTGGGAAGTTCTAGATTCAATTGCCAGTAAGGGAAGAAAAGGGGGCTCTGGGGCAAAGAGTGATGTAAAACTTGAATAGTACTTTCTGCTTTTTTCTCTTCTTTTAATCTTATTGTGCAACCTCATTGTGTTTTTAAAATGATGTCAGAGTCATAATTATTGGCAAAGTAAAGAACACTAAAGTCATGTAGTTCAGCACCCTAAAATCATAAATAGAAAAGAAATGAGAAATAAGGAGATGCTGACTGAAGGGGCATTAGGAAAACACTGTTACACAGTCTGGAATTGCTGCACGAGGAGGCATTCGATCTAATGAAAGTCAGCAATTTGTAGATAGTATTTGAATGTCATACTTCAAATACTATACTACATAAACATTCTCAATTCGGCTAGAAATTGAGTAAAAGAAATTTCTAGTGTAAATTTGAACACTAATAAGAAGAAAGCCTGGGAAAGCAAGAAAAAGAAGCCAATTGAAAAAATGATCACTTGATTATTATATAATTATCTATTAAATGTGTTTCATGGTTCTAGCTCACCTCTTTGTCTATACACTACACACACACACACACACACACACATCTACACATATAGATGCATTTCTGAATTTTCTTCCCTGTATTTTTTCGGAAAGTAAAAAAACTGAAAAAGAATTTAGCAAAATACACCTATAAAATTATACATCTTAAATATATGAGTGTTTTTAGCATTCATGCATTACAATTAATAATGATTAATACATTTTGAAAATTAAAGATATACCATAATAATTAAATTACAAATAAAATATAACATAATGATGTAGTGATGCGAAGCATGTATAGTGATGAGGACGGGTTACATTTCCGACTCACCACTGCACTCACCTCCACATCTCGGGATTGGTCCACTCCACATTACTTTCCCATCCATAAGAATACATGTAATTGTTTCTGTTCCCTGGGTTTTAATAAATCCTTCTTCACAAATAACTGAAATCGAATTTCCTAATTGAAAGTTGTCCCCAAACCGTCGTGCATTGATTGGAATTCCAGGATCAGGGCACTCATTGTGTCCAAAAGCTTAACAGTAACAAACAAACAAAAACATAAAAGCTTATATGAGAAAGATGGACCTTTGCATAGATTTTGATGGGGAAAAATGATTTTTAAAAAGTCTGTGTTTAGATGTTCTCCTCGGTCCATACTGGATTCCCTGTGATATGTGATAGGTGGGAGTCTTTTTAAAAATATGAATTATAACCCATTATAAAATTTCAAAATAGAGTTATCTCTGCTTTGTTTATTTGTGAAGATCATTACAGTTAAGTCTATGCAAACATTTTCAATATAATATGGTCAGAATTCTAATTAATGTAAATACTAACTAATTTGACAATATCTTACTGGAAATTTCTATGATGCACTTTGTTGGGAATGGAAAAATAGACTCATTGTAGGAATTAAAATGAAAAGTTTCAACCTGTGTGAAGACCTTGAGGTTTCTTTATAATTTTCCACGAGATTTATTTTCTATCATCCAAGAATAGGGAAGATTAAGTGTTTTGCAATTACCAAGCTCCAAGCACTGTGATGTCGTCAATTCGATTAACATTTAGAACAGCGTGATGGGAAAAGAATCACTGTCCACTACAAAGAGTGATGTTCAGAAAACTCAGAAAAATCAAGTACCTTGCCTCTGGTCAAAGAAATAGGACTTAAAAGGAATGAAATGTACCTTCTCTTCTGGCTTTTAATTTTTTCTCAACATGCTATTGTGTCTTGAGTTATTTATCTCAAGTTTCTCAAGAGAATCATTTTTTGAGCTCAGAAGCAGCACATTTGTTTTACCTTGTTTGTTTCTTCCAAGGTTACAGCATAGATGCACGAGTGTAATGACAAAGGGCTCATTTGAATTTTTCGTAGGTTATAGATTATGTGAACCAACCCAGATTTTCTTTTTATTCACCTTGATGACCAAATGTGCTTTGTAAAATTCTTAACTTAGTACAACATGAAGGGGAGACCAATTCCGTCAGTAGCAAAGTAGTGTTGCTACTTTGCTACTGTTTGCTTCCGGTAGTTAAAGCCTGGATGCTGATAACCGCATGCTCCTAGCTGCTGACCACCCGCTGATTCTCCCAACTGCAAGCTCTAGACCTGCTCCATGGACTGGACCGGATGGGCGTGAGATGTCAACACTCCAACCTTGTCCTCATTATAATCCCCTCAAGATAAAAACCACACCCTCTGAGGGAAGCATGACAGATCCTACTATGGCAAGAGGTGGCCCCACTGATTATCATTATCGGACATCTCTTTTCAGTGAAAAGCACAGATGACAGCCTGCACATCACCTCTCCTCCTAACCCAGTTCAAATTCAAATCCAAACCTAGCCTTGCTCAGAAACATGGTGACTTCAGAGCACTGGTGTCCGATTTTTTGTCTTGCCTGGGCTGCACCGAGTAAAGACGGATGGTCTTGGCCTGTTTATAAACTACATAACACAGTCAACTTGTATAAACAACAAAACTTGCTCTTGTAGAAATACATGTGATCATAAAATAGTTTGAAAAGGACACACACGCTGTAGGCTGCCGGTTGAACGCGGCTGTTTTAGAGTGGGAGCTCCTCTTCTCTACTCATTCACTGGCCGCTGAGTAATATTTCCCAGCTGTTCCCAGAAATCATTGGTTATTTGTGAAAGGCACTGAGTTGGAAAACAACCTAGTTTTGGTAACAGTTGCTGGGACTAAATTTGTAAATATTTTATGAGATGTTTATGTTTTATTGTTGTATTGATACTGTATGAATACATAAAATTATTCCACATTTTCTCTTTTTTATGAATGTTCATCATTGCATAATTTTATCACGCACTTATATGTTAAACTGCATAAAATATTAAGGTAAATTTGAACACATATATAATGTATTTGTAGGTATACTTATTTCTAATAATTATTTTATTTTGTGCTAGTAAAAACTCAATTTGGATTTTGCCTGGTTGCTCTAATGCATAAGGAAAAACTAATATTTTTCAGAACAACTAATTATAAGTAGTAATTTGCTAAAAAAGAAAAAGAAAATACATAAAAGTACTGCAAACATTAAAGTTAAAATGTTATGCATTTAAGAAAAAGTAATCATTGTAAATAGATAGATGTGAACCTCAGATTAAGCAAGCATTTTATTCAGCAAGTCTCTCTGAGACAAATCACACCTAACTGAAACATAAATGATGTGCAATTTCACGCTGACAACTTATTAGAGACAGAATTCACTAGTGTCACTGTGAAAAGAAAATAATTGCACTTTCTTACAAATTGCTACAACTCAGCATTTAATAGGGAAGGGTGAATGCAAAGAGTAAAATTCTTTTCAAAGGGAAACACCATGAGCTAGAAACTAAATCTTACTGTTGTGTAACTTTCAAATATTAACTTATCAGATTGATCAATAAAAATCAGCAGAGTTCTCCGGATTTAGGTACAGAAACTGCAAAAGGAACCATTAGTATGTGCATTTATTAACCAACAAAAAGTGTGTTTCTTCTCTATGTGATTCATCTTTTGGCTACAATTCTAAGAATTTTTCAGGAAAATAATGCTCAACCTTTTGAAAAGCAAAAGAATATATAGGTGACATTCAATAGTGGGAGTACTCAAATTTGGACAAATATAAACATAATACAAATATAAGGAAATATAATGTAAATGTCAAGGCAATTCAAAAGAGAGCTAAATAATACTAATAGCTAATGTTTATTGAGCATTTACTAGATGCCGTGTATTCCGTGCTAAACTCCATACAGACTTCACTGACTGCCCCTTTTGTGGCACTCCAGTGTAGTTTTACTGTTGTGGACTGTGGCTCAGCTATGAAGCCTAATTTGGAGTTGTGTAGTGTGAATTTAGGGTTGATCCTCCTGCTACCTAAAGTGCCCCTCTCACCCCCATGGTGGCTTTGCTGTCAGCTTACTGGTTCACTGCCCTGAAGTTAATGATTTACTTCTTTAGGATGCTTCTGTAGCCTTATGAATTTTTCTGTGGAATTTTAACTTTATGGTGTCATTATTTGCTTAAAACCCCCTTAGTCTATGAATATATTGAAGATCTATTTTCCTTTTATATTTGTATGCAAATAACGAAAATATGATACATACTAGGTTTGTGTTTATAAGATTTAACTGAATAAGTTAAATCATTGATTAATATAATAATGATATTTGAAACATATTCTTACTACTAGGCTTCTCAAAGGCAAAATAAAAGACATGCTGGGGAACAAAATGTAGTTGGAAATGAAGGATTAAATGATCGTGCATGGCAGAACTAGCTGAGTGCCTTGCTGAAGTTTCCATATCTGTGAAATGACAACGGGTCTCCACAACCCTTTGCCACATCTAATCCACAGAATTAGATCATGGAATAAAAAAAAAAACAAAAACTCACTGTTGTAAGTGATATTAAATCCGCGTCCTGACATCGAGTGGTCAGCCTGAAATTCCAGCCTCAGTATGTGACTATTACTCGTAAGATGCGAAGGAACCTCGGCCCCCGTGAAGGTTCCAAGAATGGGGGAGTCCGGAGAATCACCGTCTTTAACGGCCAGGAAGTCAAACTGGGATTCCAAATCGAAGTCATTGAAAGAGAGGTGTATTCGACTTCCCGGGTCGGAGATGATAGTCCAGATACAATTTAAATTATTTCCATACCCTTCCGGGTAATCTGGAGAAAGAACTGTTCCCATCGGTGCAGTAAAGTTGGAGAGACAAGGAACTGGTAAAACAGGAAGATTATAAAATACAATAAACAATCAAAAGTAATATTTCACGGTATTTTATCATATTCTACATTTATGATAATCAGCTATTTGATAAAATATCAAACAATGTAAATTATTTTTTGAAGCAGAAAGAAAACATTGCTGTATCAGAAAAGGCAAGCAATACTGTGAATGAACTGAAGGCTGTATGTCTATATATGTACAAAAATGTAACTGGAGTAATAGCAACAATTTGCTTTGACATTTATTGTGTTTGTGTGACTGGTTTAGTAACTGTTGGAGTGAATCCACATTGCAAATGTGTTTGTTTTGATGATTTTTTTTCCTGCCCACACAAACATTTGAGATCATATTTTAAAAACATATTTCAGTGTAGGGGAGAGCTGAAGTTCTCGGTTCTCTTGGTCTCTCACAAAGTTCATTCACTTAGTTTTCCACTGCTTCCCCAATGGGCATGCACATCCTTCTCTTCCTCAGGCTTCTACTTGCCCGAATCCTAGAATAGTTTAATTCTGTAACCCCTGATTTAAATTACACTTCAGACACTTTCTGTAAAGAAACACACAGTAAATATGTTGGCTGAGCAAGCCATGTGGGCTTTTTTGCAGTTACTGTGCCATTGTAGCAGGAGGGCAGTCAAATAGTTTGTCTTTTTCTGATTTAAATGACACCTACCTAGGCAACAACTGACCAAAGTCAGCACCCTAAGCAGCATTATCAGTTAAAGGTTTAATTCAGTCTTTCCATCATACTGCAAATCCATGGTGCTATCAGTGCAGATTTTACGTAACTTCCTTTTGCCCAATGTTAGTACCACACTAAATGTATTACTTAATATTATGCAGTATTATTCACATAAACAATTCACTTTTACAAATTATCACATCCATTTTTGAATATTTCATTTTACTTAACTGCATGCCAATGTATTAGGCCAAGTTCACAAAAAAGGTTCACAAAATCCTAGGTTAGGATTTTGATTAAAATTTAAATGCAATTTGTACATAATTTTAACATGGCTTCTATTTTATTTCGATAAAATTTCCCTTTTGTGTTAAGTTTTATAACCTTCTAAGTTACTTGGGCTTCAAGTAAGAATTATTGCTATGATTTTAATAATTTATTATTGAATACATCCTTCCAAATACATTTTCAAGACAGTCATGGTGGTGCATCCCTGTATTCTCGGCACTTTGGGGAGCTGAGGCAGGAGGATTGCAAGTTGGAGTCTGGCAACTCAGCAACTTAGCTAGACTCTGTCTCAAAATAAAAATAAAACAGAGAGCTGGGGATATAGCTGAATGTAAAGGTGCTGGGTTCAACCTCTAGTACGAATTTTTTTTTTCAAATTAGCTATTGCTAATATGTAAAAACATTATTCATTGCTACATGTGCATCATGTATCAAGATACTGGGGTTAATTATTTTTTAATAGTAATAAACATTCTGTAGAAATTCAAGAAATTTTGAAAACTTGTTTTAGACAGCGATATTGTCAACAATTTCCTTAAATACATTTACCATATACTAAGATGCTTTCAAAATATTTTCATTTTTCTGTGATATATTCCACTAAGGAAATTTTCAATATTAAACTAACATCATAAAACACCTAGAATTAAAGATACTCAATTAGTCTTTTGAAATATTAATAAACTTTAAATGGTGTGAACACACTTAGATTGCCTAATGTATTTCCTTCTCTCAAAAGAACTTTACAAAGTGATCTTGGTTAGATATGAGAACTAGCCCTGATCTTTTGAATATTCTAGTAAGGGAGTTTGCATACTCTTATTTTCCAAGACTTTCTGATAACAAACAAGACATGGTGTAATTAGGGAAATTTCTGACAGAATAAGAGAGAGAGAGAGAGAGAGAGAGAGAGACCCACTTCATTGTAATGGCATGAGGACAGTATTTAATTGAGCCTCTAAGTGCATGAATAGGTAATAACACTGACCTTTTTAGTTGTAGTTAAACAGAATGTGTAGACAAACACTTTTTTTTAATCCAAGTACATTATATATCATAAACTTTAATGAATTTTATTCTATATAATATAAATAAATGACACTCTATAGATTAATGTAAGCAATCATACACAAAAATAAGTTAATGCATTATACATAAAATAGAACTTTTAAATATTTTAAGTGTTTTTGATTGCTAAAATGCATATACTATCTTTTTAAAATAAATGAGCATTTTAATTAGTTCAGATATATAAATTCCATAAGAAGCATGCTTTGTATAAAGTATGAAATGCCACCAATTTAAGTGTAATAAGAACACTTTTTATATATATTTTGCAATTGCCAAGTGAACTATGTTAACTTTATTTAAATCTATAATGAAATTTATAATTTGGCATAAGCACACTTGTTAAAGATAGTATCACAAAGTGCTACTCGGCCAAAAATAATTACACGGTTCCAGCTCTTTGCAATTAATTACAAAAGCAATTATAAGCAAGGACAGGGTAACATATGCTCTCTAAAGCAAAGCATTTGGTACTCACAGATACAGATGGGTATGTTTGCAGACCATTGGTTATTCTCTTGACAAACAATGGATTTCTCTCCAATTAATTCAAACCCAAACTGACATTCGAACCTTAAAGTATCACGATTAGAAAACCCATCGCCTTCTCTAATTCCATATAATGGTGTGCCAGGGTCACCACAGCTTTCTTTCTCGATTTCTGTAAAAATAGAAGATAAAAGTCACCTTCCCAGAGGTGGACATACATGATACCCATACTACAAGGTGAGTAAGCATGTCCTCTCCATGTGAAGATACTGCAAAACTAGGAATGGATGTATTCTCTAACCTTCTTTTTTTTTATTTGCTATGCTTACAGACAAGATTCAATGCAATGATTTTTAGGAAGAAAATCAGTGTATTTCTTTGAATTTTGTAGTTGAGGAATCTGAAGTTATTATAAGTAATGAGGGTGTCAGAGAGTGTAACTAGCAAATCAATTATACAAAGACTTAGATTTTCTGTTCCTACTACAAACATGCATACATGTATTTATGAATATACGTATATAGATCTTTTTTTCTCCAAAACCCCCCAAACGTTTCAGTCTTGTAATTTTCACATGATATTCTTGTAATTTTCTTAGATCCTGACCAGGACATGAGGAATTGTTTATTGCCTGTATGTTCGTGCAGTAGGTAAGGAATACCTCTAACGTGATCTGCAGGTTTTGGGGGTAACTGTTGGCTGAATTTCTTCCCCAAAGAAACACTAACAGTGTACTTAGGAGGAGGAATCAATTTCTCAGGAATGAATGCCTAGCTATGGTCCTTGAGAAATATTTATTGGATGAACTAAAGACTGAAAAAGAATCTTTGTCAGAGCATCATTAAAAAGCACCTTTCTGAGGGCCATGGAGTGTGCATGTATCTGAGGTTGTCATTGTGAAGTTCTGAGTGTCAGAAATAAATTACCGGGGTGGTTCTGAAATCTCATTTTTTGTCTTCACACGATAGCAAAAAGTAAATAAAAATTACAATTGAAAATAAAACTTTGAGCTAAAACTCCAGCCTATCCCGACTCTGACTTCCCAGCATCCACATGTTGTGGTTGTTCTGAAAAGCCAAAGCACCATTCAGTGTGCAGCTTTCCAGTTCTTTTCCATGCTTTAGGTTATGCATATATATAACATGCAATTTACAAATATATATATATTATATTTATAAAATATAAACATTTCACCAAGGTATGTTGTTTTATATAAATATCATGCTTAACCTCTATTATACTGTCAATGCTATTAAAAACTTTTTTGTAACCAAGCAGTACTGTTTCAGAGATTCAGTGGTGCCTTGGTTTATGAATTTAATTTATTGTATGATTTGAGAGAAGGTGGCTGAGTTTGTGTTTGTGTGGGGAAGGTGACCGTGGTTGTGTTTGTCTACTGATGCAGAGTTTGCAAACGGAAGCAAAATTTTGTTGAATGATTTTGTTTGGGAACTGAATTGTTTGCAAACAGAAGCATTCATGAACCAAGTTATTACTGTATTTTTGAATACTTTGTATCCCAAGTAGAAGTCATAGATGGTTATAATCATTCCTTTACAACACTAGATTTCTGGGCGGGGGATTTAGCTCAGTGGTTCTGCTGCCTGCCTTGCAAGCGCAAGGTCCCAAGTTCGATCCCCAGTACCAAAAAAAACCCAAAAAAACTAGATTTCATTTACATATTTTTATTTGCCAGGAGTGACATTCTTCTGTAATATTTTTGGAGTTTTTCCCACTCAGTTTTAATATCAAGAAAGGAAATTAGCATTTTTTTCGTATTTTAATAAACTTTAGTCTTTATAACAGGAAAACTTGGATCTTTAGCATTAGGACTTTGCTCAGAAAGGTGGCAACTTAACATATGTTAAAGATGAGACATTTCCAAGACTGGTAGTTCAGAAGCAATAGAATCGTTACAGGGTTTTACACGTTACCATTATTAATGGAAGTCATTAATCTTTCTCATTCCTAATGATATTTTTTGTGTTTACTTTTCTGGTTATCTTTGCTTGTACCTAAAAGCAGTTGTCAAATTTATTAGTTTGTTCACAAATCAGAGGTTGCTCTTGTTGATACATTCTAGTGTGCTGATGTTGGTCTAAGCATTTTTCCCTTTCATCTTTTTGGGTCCCATCTTCACTTTTCTTTCACATTATTTTTCTGTTCTTTTTCTATTTTCTTGAGTTGAAATATTAGGATATTTTTATTCATTTATTTATTTTCAGCCTCCCTAGTTTTGTAAAATAAAGAAAATTCAAATCTCTGAATTTTATTTAAAGTAAAATAATGTGGGGAGTTTTATTGTTCAACTTCTAAATAGTTTACAGTTTCCATTTTGTTTTCCTCTTTTAATTCATAAATAATTTTATTGTTTTTAAATTTATGAGTTAGGGCTATAATTTCTTTGGTGACTTATTTTTAGCATTTTAGGATTTATGGGTCAGTGCTTTTTTTGTTGATTTCTAACACTATTTCTTTAGTATTTAGCATATGTATGTCCAAGTCTCACAGTGGATAAACCAGTAAAATATATTCGATTTAACTTGTTATCTTTGTCAAGCTGAAATTATTTATGACTTTAATTATTTTTGTCTACTTGTTCTGACACCTTATAAAAATGAGTTCAAGTTCCCAACTGAATGTTGATCTCCCCACTTTTCCTTATAGTTGAGTCAAGTCTGCTCCACATATTTTATTTTAGTTTAGTGTAGTTTTAGATTTTTTTTTTGGTACCGGGGATCCAACTCAAGTTCTTGCACTTGCGAGGCAGGCAGCAGAACTGCTGAGCTAAATCCCCAGCTGCTCCACATATTTTAAACCATCATTCAGCTATTCAGTTTACATAGGAAACCTTTCCTTTGAACACTTTTATTTTCGTATGTGACAGGTGCTGGTTTAGGTCTGTGATGTAAACCAATGAACAAACACAGAGCGATTCCTGATCTCTGGCGGTATATGTACCACTGAAAGATGAATAATAACCAACAAGTAAAGCACACAGCATCTTAGATAACACTCCATGTTATAGGGGAAGCTGGCCATCAGAGAGTCGGGCCATTACCACACCTGGCAGAGAGACTTTGCTAGACTCTGGGTTTTACTGTTCTTATTATCAAAATTGTTTCTGTTACTGGACAAATAGATTCTTCATCATCTAACAGTGTCCTCATTCTATCTTCACTGTTAGTTACTAAGATACAGAATTTTAATTCAAATTCATTTTTTTCAACAATTTTAACATGTTTCCTTATGCTTTTTTTTATCAGTGCAGTATACCTGATGAGAAATATAACATCCACTTTCCTTTTTTCATAATTAACCTGTTCTCTGATCCTTTTCGTTACATCCTACAAGACTTAGGGCTCCTATTTTGAGTTGCTAGAGTTTTTTTAATCTAATTTTCTATTTAGTGATTGACTGATTACTTCTGTCAACTTGTAATTTTTTTTTTCAGTTCTAGAGAATTATTAACATTATTTCTTTTAAAATATTGTTCTTACAAGTTTTCACCTCTGGAATTCTTTTATAATAAATATTGGATATTTAGGATTAAACCTTTATGTTGTTCCGTGTTTTACATTTTCATTTTTAAAATTTTCTTATTTTGCATTTTAGAAGAATTCCACATATGTGTGCATATACATGTATATACACATGGGTGTACATTCATATATTTGTACACAATAAATTTCACTTTGTAAACACTATTTTATCTGTGGACTATAAAATTGTGTTTTCATTTCCTAAATATTTAATGATTGTAACTACTTCTTATTGTTTCATTAGCTCCTGTATTTTTATGAATACAGTTTCCCCCTTTATTTTTGTGAGGATTTCTAATATAAATATTTATATATTTTTTTTCCTTTTTCACTGTTTCTTTATATATAAGGAGAAAAATACTGAGAAAGAAGCAGGATGAACTTATTTCTAAAGCAACATATTTGAAGATATATCCAGTAAATTATAAAGATTGTTAAGTCCATGTGCACGGGAAAGTATTTTAGGGGAGAAGCAAATGTGTTTGAGTAAGCGGTCAGATAAATGTTTTCATTTGCTGGCTTCTTTATATCCCTGCAGGTTTCACACTCTCTGTCATCGCTTCAAGCTTCCCCACTTTCAGGCTTCTTTAATGTCAGAAAAGCAGGGTAGTTCTGAGGGGAGTGCTTGCTCGTATTGATCCATGGTGGATTCCACACTCTGGTGCTCCTCCTGAGTGGAAGAGGCGTCCCTCTTGATGACCCGATAATTCACTATTTAGGCACTTGACTCTGCCGCAGGGACACTTTCCTCAGGGGCAATAACTGCAGCTTCTCTGAACTGCCCTTAGCCTGCTGGCCCTGGGCCACAATAGCCTCCCATGTAGAAGCTGAAGCAACAGCTGTGTACTGTATATATCTTATAGCTTCATAGCAACTGAGATTTTTCTCTTCCCATTTCAAGCATTATTTTTTAATGTTTTCTCTCATCTTTGGGTTAGGGATGAGAATAAAAGTTTAATTTAGTATTTGGAAGCAACTTTTTTTTTTCTCCTTTAGTATAATATTCTCAAAAATCAAGAAATGTATGTAAATAAAGATGAGAAAAAGATGAAATTACAACACTCTAACATAGACAAAAAAATTATATTCTTAAGTAAAATAAACACACCTATTATGTATCACTGCTTTCAATTTTTTTTCTACACAGGCAGCAAGATTGACATCTGAACAAAAGTTAATATGCAATAGATAAATTCTATATTAGAGATATTTCCAAAGAACAATTATAAATAACAGCTATCATTTATTGCCCATTAAAATGTACTAGTACTATGCAAACATTTTAAAAATATTCATTCTGTAATTTAATCTTCAAAACAACCTTATGAAGGAACTATTCTCACCACTTACAGATAAGAAAACTGAAGGTCAAAGGAATGAAATGACTGGCCCATTTTACATATTCTGTAAACAGCAGAATTTGTGTCTGTCTGAATCCAGTGTTAATCATCTACTATTATGCAAGAATTTTTATTTGCTAGTTATCTGTTTATGAAGTCTATGTTTAGTTTCTAATATCTATCAAAAATCATGCCAGTCATTACTTGAGTGTAGTGATGATCAAGTGGCAGGTACTGGGCACTGGCTCCACTACACCCAAGAGGAAGGTCATGCGGACACGAAGCAGCAGATTAGGGTGTGGACAGACAACTGGAAAGTGGGCGTGACCTGTCAATCACTGAGATCCTGGACACACTCCCAAGCCCCTTACCTGGGACCAATCAGAATCGAAGTTCTATCTTTGATTTTTCTGCTGTGAAATCAGCTAGGTTTTTGCTACATTTGCCTAGATCTGGGGCAGAACAGGAGATATAAAAGATGTCAGCTATTAATCTCATGACCACCACGAGCTCTTTCAGTGGCCCACTCTCACCCCACAGAATACTTTTTTTCCTACCTTTAATAAATGTAAAGTCTTACCATATTTTGTGGTTGTTTTTTCTAATTCTTTGTTCAGGACTGAAAAATTCTGGGAAGAATCTCTAGAAAGAGCCCAGAGCACCCAAGGCCCAGGAAACAGACAGGAAGTGAGAGAGTGAGTCAGAGGTCAGGTACACTCTTATAATTAATCCAGGAAGTCACAGGAAGTAGCTCAAGGTCCCACCAGAAGGACCTGCTACCTCCTGAGGGTTTGCTCCCAATGACCTAGCCAGTTTCCACTGGTCCCCACCTCTTAAAGTTTCCATCACCTCCCACACTGTGACAATGGGTGCCAAGCTTCCAACTTATGAACTGCTGGGGGCACAAAACACATCTAAACCATTGTACCAATATCTATTAATCTTTCAAGGTCAAACTATGCCTCCTCTTTAAAGACTGCCATGACCTTGAAAGGACAGCTTTTTGTTCTGTTCTCTGGCATTCTTGGCCTTGGGATACATCTACATTGGTCTATTTTATTATAATTATTCACTTTTTCATTTCTCTTCTTCTTTCATTAGCTTTTGTTCACCCTTCCATTTCAAATGCCTATATACATGGTGACAACAAACATTTATTTGTTGTTTGTGTGTCAGGCAAAGTTGTAAGCACTTGTTGTATTCAATCCTGACACCATCGAAGAGATGATGACCCAACGGGGTAAATTTCCTTGTCTAATTTCATACCAATTTTAAGTGGAAGAGCTCATATTTGAATCTAATGAGTATAGTTGCAGAAGTAAGTTTTTATCACTATAGGACCCCTCAAAACTTCACGTTTAAGAAATAGTTGTAGATATATAAAGAAAGGAAGGAAATGAAGGATTAGCAAACCAAATTATGTGATTCCACTAATAAGCAACATAAGCAATCCCAACATCCCATAGATATAGAGAAGCTGCACACAGAGAAAATAATAGAATGATGGTATTTTGGTAATAAATGTTGACGAATTTAAAACTCTCATTTTCTTGTAATTGAAGCATATGAGTTCTAGACACCTTCTTGTTTTTTCCATCCATTTTCAACCTTACCCTGTCCTGCTCTTTAACCTCCCTCAGGGGAAGGGGGTGGGAATAAAGACTAACCCTTGTGGTCTCACAATAGCCAGGGTTCTGTGATACCTGGCTTTCTGTGGAGAGGGTAGTGGAAGGTAGTAATGTTGGCAAGATATCGGGGTGAGGAAGTAAGGAAGAGAATATAGTAGTGTACCCTCCCCCAGTCCTTCTTACCACGTGCTCCTTATCACCACAGCATAGCTATCCCTAAAATAACAGCACAATATGCAAGGCAGCCTTCTCCATATAGCTGCCCTCTGAGTGTCATTAGCTGAGCTTACTGTGAAACCTCTTGCCAGTTTCCTTAAGCTCTGCTCATATTTAGCCAGTGTGAAGGCATCGTTTGTTTCCTATAGGGTTTCTTCCTGATACAACATAATTTACCACTGGAGTATAGATTCAATATAGAATCTAGTTAGCATCCCACTAATACTTGATCCTGTTACCTTATAATAAGTTTGTCTGTTGGAATATAAAATGAGGTGGTAATTTCTTTAACAAATGCTGCATCACTAGGAGCTAGCTTAATATCTGTGTATCATTCCAACTAAATTTGGAAGGAATACAGTAAGTATCTGTCCATAGAGTCAGAGGTGAGCACCTACAGAGTTAACACCTGGTTCTTCTCTTTTTATTCCCTACTGTGCAGACAAAGAAACAAAATGAGGAAGAGGTGCTGCAATAAATGAAGGGAAGTCCGAAGCAACAGGCAGAGAACTCAGAATGCATTCATTCGGTGTGTTGAGACTAATATTGGAAATATAGGTTTATATAGCAATGGCTGAAATTTGCAGAAACAGGGATCTTTCAATACTCTATTTTTATTGACCAAGTTAACTTTGATCCTTAATGCCTAAAGTAATAAACTCTAATTTTAAATTCAATCCGTTTTTCAGCCACAGAGCCACATCTGGCCTTAAAGTGACACAGAGCACTCATTGATCAATCTCTCACTTGACAACAGCTGACACTGTAATTCAAATATTTCACAGAGAAGCTGTGTAGGTTAAAAGAAAGTGATCTGGAAAACTTGCAGTTTTGCTGATTCTTAATGTTAAGAAGTCTCTTGGGAATTTTATTACCTCAGCACCGGGCTTACAAAAGCTGTGAAATACAGAATCACTTAGCTAGAAAAGAACTTGTGAGTTAAACTACATCTCACCTCCAAGCATCTCCGATAAATGAGTCTATAATCAACATTTAAAGACAAGAAAATCCATAACTGCCTAGGAAAAAGTAATGAAGGAGGCATGTGCAGTAATAAATGTGTAGAGTTTTTTACAATCATGATGAAAACACTGACATTTAAAATGCTTCATGCTAAGCACAAAACTTTAATTAAAAATTCAGAATGGTGGCAAATATAGCCTGAGACAAAGTTTAACGTTTTGTACAGAGCTGGTATAGAACATCTGCAGCCTGGAGTTAAAATATTATACTTTTGAGATACAGCCAATAGAAGCACTCTAAAAAATTACTCAAGTCTTGATCACACTCACTCTTAAGTGTAATTGAACATCTTAATATTAAAATTAGGATCTCTTTGTGAGAAGCATAATGTGCTTGAGTACGGTGGCAAGGAATATTGGCAATATACAGTATTTCAAATAAGTCAGAAGAAGGAATTTTGAATGTTTTCACTGAAGAGAAATGATAAAATGCACCTTAATTTGAATGTTACATTGTGTATAGATGTATTGAGAAATGACATGGCACCATAGTTTATATATATATATAGACAAAAATAAATAATTTTAAAATAATGTGTTTTTGTTTGCTTCTAAATGTTACTTAAATTATATTGATTCAGAGTTTTTTATGTTGTATTACTGTATGCATGACAAACTATTTTTGTTTTATTATCTTAATGTCCAAATTGCAAATTTAGAGGATGAATAGAAGACCTGCAAGTAATGTCTGTAGACATATAATGTTCGTCAGCCTTCGTAGCTATTAAATCTATGAATTTGTGTTTATATGACATTTTGCTTCATGATAATCAATGGTATTCAGATTTTTTTTCAACTATGTATCTGTGGAGTTTTATGTAAGACTCTGTGGAGCAACTGCAGCCCACCCCCCATTCTCTCTCTCTGTCTCTCTCTGTCTCTCTCTCTCTGTCTCTCTCAGAACACATAGGTGAAACCAAGGTTATTTTTTAGGAATATGTCTAAGTTTTTTCAGATCTAATGAAAAGGAAAGAAGTAATTTACAAATGTAGGTTATTCAAGTCTTATTATTCGTTCTTGAAATTTTACAATAATATGAAACACACCACAGTGTGACAAGTCCAACATTGGGAACAAATGTTCTATCGTGTAGTTTCCTACTTTACAAATTTATTTCACGTCCAAAATAATTTAATGAGATAGGGTGGGAATCATTTGGAGAAAAACCCTCACTTCTTAATGATAAGTGCTTTAGTTCAGGGAATTTAAAGTCTAATCTCATCAATTTAAGTGTATAATTAATTCACTTCAGCTCAATATTTCCTGTTCATTCACTGTGTATGAGAAATTGTGCCGGGAACTGGGGCCACAGGACAACCTCAGACATGATTCCCCAAAATATGTCACTTTAGTATGCAATTATTCTGAGCTGAAGGCACCTGAGCAACAGCAGATGCAGAAGGGATTTCTATCTTTTCTACCTCAAATCAGACGATAAAATTGTACCCAAAGTTTATGGAAAGGTATCTTCCTTACAACAGGAAGACAAAATCCTTGTCACCAGGGACTGTGAATCAACAGGAAATGAGTATGTTACAGCTTATTTAAATATCTTTATCTTCCTCTAGTTTCTTCTAATACATTTCTTAGTCCCACCCCCCCATGTGGCCCTTAGGTTAAACCCTTGTATCTTTTTGTGTCTTTGCTACTGTATTGTCTCTTTGCCTAACAGGTACTTAAGTTTTCTGCTCTGGTTGCTTTGGCTTGTCTTTTCTTGTGAGGTTCTAATGTATATGCACATTTTTAATCAAGCTTTTCATCTTTTTCTCCTATTAATGTCATATGTCAGTTTAACTATTAGGCCCAACTAGAGAATTCAGAGGGTTGGAAGGATATTTATCCTCCTCCACACCACAAAAAGGGATATAGCATAATCTGCCATTAAAAGCCATAGTCTGTGAAAGCTCCCAAAATGATACATTTTAAAAGAAAAATTCCTTGACATGAATACTTTAGAAAAAGAGAACAGGCTACACTCTAATCAAAACCATTGCTACAAAATAGAAATGTTTTAAATCTTAAAAATGATTTCAGAAGTTAAGGGATTTCTTTTTGGTATTCTGACTTACGTGGTATGTTATGGATTAGACTATTAAAGATGACACAGGAAGTAACAAGGAAATTCTTGTCCCTACCTTGCATTGAGGGAGAATCTTCAGATTTAACCTATTGCTTACATACTTAAGGTCCACCCTAGGAACTGCTTAGCATTTGCTCTCAGTTTGGGACTAGTGCTATGTCTGTGACAAAGGGGCAATGTCATAGGCTGCCTGAGGTTAGGAAACTACGAAGCCCAGTGCTCAAAGGCACTTTCATCATCTCAGATCAATAGATCCCATCATCTAGTGAGTCACAGCAAACAGATCACGTCCTTGTCCATTTTCAGGAACTGTGTCCTGATTCATATTTTCATTCATTCATCTATTTATTTAATCATTTATTAGTACGTTCATTCAAAAAGATGTCTTGAAATTTCACTATTTCCTAAATGTTGGGAACTAGAAGTGAGTAAAATTTAACCTGTTACTGTCTACAAGAAAACAATAATCATATATAGAGAAGTAAAATAAATTATTTACTTTTAGAATATGATATATTGGAGGCATGGAGAAGAAAATTGAAACAATAGTACTTACCAATGAAAAAGCAGAAGCTATTGTATAATTTGAACATGAGCTGAGGTTGGGCAGGTTTGCATGGGTGTATAGGTGTTGAGCAGTAGTTTGTGACATTTCAGGTAGAAGGAACACTTGTACTGAAGGAATGAATGGCAGTGTGAAACACACCGGCACATTTGGAGAAGCCAAGGAGCTCATTGTGGTTGGAGATTGGTTTCGAGGAGCGAGAGGGGAGAGATGAAGTCTGGAAGATGTGGGGCAAAACTTTTGTGATATCTGGAGGGCCTCTGACCTTATTGTGTGCAGAGATCTTCCACTGATAAATTACACTAAGATCACACAAGCCATAAAAATAACCAAGTCATGCATAGCAACGGTGTCACTATCCTCATGTGAGATACGTGAAATGTGATGTGGACTACAGTCAATTAAAGAGACTTGACCCTGCTCCTTTAGCAGTGTATAATCTAATAAGAGAGCAACAAAATGGAAATTTGAGGAAGCTTTGCTTTTTGTAAGAAGGCTCCACATAGCACCATTCACTGGCACCCTCACTTAACCTGTCTATTTTTAAAATATTTTCCTTTGAAGTACCTTGAATGAGAGAACAAAGTGAAATATAGATTTTTGTCTAAATCACTGTAGCTACCTGTTTAAAAAGTTTGCAAGCAGAGATAGATCAATATTTTCTGAACTATAATAGCATTCAAAGTGAATGGATTTTTCTTTCAAAATAACCGTGTTAGCAGCCCAACAGCTGCCATCAAAAACTTGAAAACACTATTTCTCCTACTGTATCTACCAGATGTGGCAAGGTCTTATAATTATTTGAAAGTATAACTTTGTATATCTATGAATCAAGAAAGAACAATGCGCTACTATTACTATGATTATAAAAGACCACACCAAGAAAAGCCCCAGTGCAAAGAATGAGCAGAATATTCCATTTCCTTTAAAAATGATTGTGTTGTTACACTGTTGGCCTTTGAAGAATTAAGCCTGGGAGTAAGTATCCCAACTCTTTCAAACTAATAAACAGTTATTGAGGTCTCATATGTGCTGAGCTAGTCATGGGGTACTGGAAAGTTGGACTAGGTGTTTACTCAAAGAGATGAACGTAATATTTACTCAGACACTTTGTAGCAATGGCCAGGAGTGTAGAGATAATAGATGAATATAATTCTATGTCTTTGCAGCTGATTTCTTCACATCAAGTTAAGTCTCTAAGATTATATTGATATCCACTTCTCTACTGTTTTTATCTTTCATGATCTTGGGGTTCCGTGTCCAGTAAAAATTTATTCAGGCACATGCCTGAAACTGAAGCTAAGAGGGAGACTGAGACAGAAAGGTGCTGGATTGAGGCCATCCTGGGCAACTTAGTGAGACCATGTGTAATAATAATAATAATAATAATAATAATAATAATAATAATAAAGTAAGAAGGCTAGGGATGTAGTTAGGGGTGTTAGAGTGTCTGCCTAGCATTTATGAGGTCCTGGATTCAGGATTCAGTATTGAAAAAATTATTCTCAGGCGAGGATACTGAACTATAGTCAGAATATTATCATTCAACTTCTACCAGCTTATCTGCATTTCAACTTCTGAAATTACAGAAACAACTACTATAATTTTGAAAGAATACCCAGTTATATTTGGGATATCCTGTGTGGAGACTATGGAAAATATATAAAAAGTAGGTATTTGGCTTTATTTAACATAGTATGTATAAGACAGAGTCTTTTGGACGAAAGATTAAAAAGTTGACAAAAGTAAAACTCTTGTGTAAGGGTAAAATATGACTTGTATAAGTATATAAACAATTTAAACATAAGACAACATGTAACAGGGGTGGTATTACTTACTCATGTCTTTTCAGAAATTTAGAGGAAGCAAAGATGATTTCAATATTGGAAGGGGAAGAGTGTAGGGATGATCACAGGAAAGAAGTTGAG